CCATCGAAATTGAACCAGGAAGAAATCCAAAACTTGAATAAATAACATGTAATGAGATAAAAGCAATAATAAAAAGTCTTCCATCAAAGAAAAGCCCAGGACCTGATGGCTTCACTGCTGAGTTCTACCAAGCATTCGAAGAAGAACTAATACCAATACTAAATTATTCCAAAAACTTGCGGGGGGGTTACTCCCAAACTCATTCTGTGAGGCCTGTATCACCCTAATACCAAAACCAGACAATGATACAACAAAAAAAGAAAACTATATGTCAGTATCACTGATGAACATAGATGCAAAAATCCTCAACTAGGTACCAGCAAACCAAATTCAACAACATATTAAAAAGATTATTCATCATGATCAAGTGGGATTCACCTCAAGGATGCAAGGATGGTTCAATCAATGTTATACATCATATCAGAAGAATGAAGAGCAAAAATCATATGATCATTTCAATTGATATTGAAAAGTATTAAATAAAATTCAACATCCCTTCATGATAAAAATTCTCAAAAAAACTGGGTATAGAAGGAACTACCTAAACATGATAAAAGCCATATATGACACCCACAGCTAGTATCATATACAGAATGGGGAAAAACTGAAAACCTTTCCTCGAAGATCTGAAACAAGACAAAGATGCCCACTTTCACCACTGTTATTCAACATAGTACTGGAAGTTCTAGCTAAAGCAATCAGATAAGAGAAAGAAACAAAGGGCATCCAAATTGGAAATGAAGTCAAACTATCCTTGTTTGTAGATGATGATCTTATATCTAAAGAAACCTAAATACGCCACCCAAAAAATATTAGAACTAATAAACAAATTCAGTACAGTTGCAGGATACAAAATCAACATACAAAGCTCAGTAGCATTTCTATATGCCAACAGTAAAGAATCTGAAAAAGAAACCAAGAAAGTAATCTCATTTACAACAGCTACAAATAAAATAAAATACCTAAGAATGAATGTAACCAAAGTGAAAGATCTCTAAAATGAAAACTACAAAACACGGATGAAAGAAGCTGAAGGAATAAAAATATGAAAAGATGGCTCATGGACTGGAAGACTCAATATTGTTAAAATGTCCATACTACCCAAAGCAATCTACAGATTCAATGCAACCCCCATCAAAATACCAATGGCATTCTTCAGAAAAATAGAAAAAATAACCCTAAAATTTATATGGAACCACAACAGACCCAGAATAGCCAAAGCCATCCTGAGCACAAAGAACAAAACTGGAGGAACCACATTACTTGACTTCAGATTATACTACAGAGCTGTAGTAACAAAAACAGCATGGTACTGACATAAAAACCGACACAGACCAATGGAACAGAGTAGAGAACCCAGAAATAAATCCACATATCGACAGTGAACTACTTTCGATGAAGGTGCCAAGAACATTCAGTGGGGAAAGGATAGTCTCTTCAATAAATGGTGCTGGGAAAACTGGATATCCACATGCAGAAGAATGAAACTAAACTCTTTTTCTGTCAACATACACAAAAATCAAATCAAAATGGATTAAAGACTTAAATCTAAGACCAGAAACTATGAAACTACCAAAGAAAACACTGGGAAAACTCTTCAGGACACTGGTCTGGGCAAGGACTTCTAGAGTAATCTCCCATAGCACAATTGGACAAATGGGATGACATTAAGCTAAAAAGCTTCTGCACAGCAAAGGAAACAATTAATAAAGGGAAGAGTCAACCCACAGAATGGGAGAAAGTATTTGCTAACTATCCTTCTGACAAGGGATTAATAAGTAGAATATATAAGGAGCTCCGACAACTCAATAGGAAAAAAAAATCAAATAATCTAATTAAAAAACAGGCAAAGGATCTGAATAGACATTTCTCAAAAGAGATACACAAATGGCCAACGGGTATATGAAAAATTACTCAAAATCATTAGTCATCAGAAAAATGCACATCAAAACTACAATGAAACACTATCTCACCCTAGTTAAAATGGCTTTTATCAAAAAGACAGGCAATAACGAATGCTGGCAAAGGATGTAAAGAAAGGGGAACCCCCATACACTGTTGGCTGTAATGTAAATTAGTAAAAACACTATGGAAAATGGCATGGAGGTTCCTCAAAAACCCGAAAATAGGAACTACTATATGACCCAGCAATCCCACTACTGAGTATATATCCAAAGGAAGGAAATGTAGTATATCAAAAAGATATTCACACACTCATATTTACTGCAGCACTATTCACAATAGCGAAGATATGGAATCAACCTTCGTGTCTACCATTGGATGAATGGATAAAGAAATTGTAGTACATATGCACAATGTAATACTACGTAGCCACAAAAAGAAGGAAATCCTACCATTTGCAAGATGGATGGAACTGGGGAACATTATAGGAAATGAAATAAGCCAAGTACAGAAAGACAAATCTTACATGTTCTCACTCGTATGTGGGAGCTAAATATTAAAAACAATCTCATGGAGACAGAGAATAGAATGATGGTTACCAGAGGGTGTGAAGTATAGCAGGGACGGGGGAATAAAGTGGGATGGTTAATGGGTTCAAAAATATACTTAGATAGATCAATATTTGATAGCACAACAAAGTGACTATAATCAACAATAAGTTAGGGTATACTTTAAAGGAATTAAAATAGTGGAACTGAAATGTTTCTAACACAAAGAAATGTTAAATGCCTCAGGTGAGGAATACCCCAATTACCCAGATTTGATAAATTCACATTGTATGCCTATATCAAAACATCATATGTATGTACCCTATAAAAGATATACAGCTATTATATACCCATAATAATTAAAATTTTTTTAAAAAGCAGCACTAGAATTTAATCTTCTTTCTCTTAATTTCAAACTTATACTTTTTTTCTTCCTATGTTCACCTATATGTCAAAACTGTCTTTCAAATTAAGTATAAATATGGCGGTAATTTTGAAGGTTTTCGAAATGTTCATTCTTAATTTTAATCTTAGTAAGAACCACATGATCTTCATTTCAACCCTAAGACATCGTTTAAAGGTATAGGAAAAGGCTAAATGAATTTAATGTAATCAAATCACAACTTAATGGGGAGAAAGGGCAAAGGAAAAAGGAAATAAAAGGTAAACATACTATAACTAACTAGTTACTCTAAGGGAAAAAAAGATGGTACAAAAAGAAATCTGACTATGCTATCAAGATAGTGTAAAATTGGCATAAGGACAGACATAGAAATAACAAACAGATCAGACAGTATAAGAATAGACCCACCAATATATGGTAAATTGATTTCTTTTTAATAAAAATGCCAAGATAATTCAATGGGAAACAAATAGTGCTTTCAACAAATGATACTGGAACAAGCAACTGTGTGTTAGAGGAAAAAAAACCTTAACCTTTACCTTATACCATATAAAAAAACTTAAAATTGATCACAGACCTAAACATAAAACGCTAAAATTATAAATCACTTAAAACAGGAGAAATTATTTGTAATTTTGGGGTAGGCAATGATTTCCTAGGACATCAAAAGTACAAACTATAAAAGGCAAAAAATGATAAAATTGGACTTTGTCAGTATTTAAGAATCTGTTCTTCAAAAGACACCATTTAAGAAAATAAAAAGACAACTGGGCTTGGTGGTTCATGCCTGTGATCCCAGCACTTTGGGAGGCTGAGCCTGGAAGACCTCTTCAAGACAGGAGTTCAAGACCAGTCTGGGCAACATAGCGAGATCCTGCCTCTACAAAAAAATGTCTTTTTAAAGTAGCTGGGCATGGTGGCATGCACCTGTAGTCCTGGCTACTTCCAGGGAGGCTGAGGCAGGAAGATTACTGGAGCCCAGGAGTTCAAGGCTGCAGTGAGCTGTAATTGCACCACCGCACTCCAGCCTGGGTGACAGGGCAAAACCCATCTCTACAAACAAACAAACAAACAAACAAACAAAAGAAAATGAAAATGAAAATGAAAATGAAAATGAAAAGGCAAGCAACAGGTTGAAAAAATATTCAGAGAACATATATCTGACAAAGGACTTGTACCCAGATTTATAAAGAGCTATTATAACTTAATAAGAAAATAACTCAATAAAAGAGATGGACAGACACTTCACCAAACAAGAGAAATCAATGGCATACAAACACATAAAAAGATGCTCAACATCATTAGTCATCAAGGAAAGGAAAATTAAATCCAGAATGAGATACAATTACATTATCAACTACAGTGGCTAAAATCATAAAGACTGCAGAGGATGGGGAGCAACTGGACCTCTCTTGTACTGCTTGTGGGGATGTAAAATGGTACAATTGCTTTGACATGGTTTGGTAGTTTCTTAAAAAGTTAAATATATAGCTCTATTCTTAATAGCCCAAATCTGTTAACAACCTAAATGCTCACCAACAGATAAACTGATAAAGAAAATGCAGCACATTTAAAAAAAAAAAAAATCACTCAGTAGTAAAAAGGAATGAACTACTGACACTATATACATACAACAAAACACATGCGTCTAAAAAGTACTATAATACTGAAAGAAGCTGAACACCAACACCACATTTTATATGATTCCATTTAAATAAAATTCTAGAAAAGGCAAAACTAATCTATAGTGATATAAAGCAGATCCCTGCTGGGGTTGGAGGTTGCCTGAGGTTGGAGGGTGGTAAGAGAAAACCACAAAGGAGTACAAAGAAATCTTGGAGATAATATTCTATATTTCTGGGTAATACTCTTGATGGTGATGGTAGTTACACAGGTGCACAAGCTTAACATTCATCAAATTGTGCACTTCTATGGGGTATGTTTTATTACATGAAAATTATACTTTGAAAAAGCATAATTTTTAAAGTCGATTAAAAAAAAACAAAATGAAACATAATAAATGTATGATGTTCATACAGTTCCATGGCCCATTTTATGCAATTTTCTTTAAAGGTATTCAAATAAGATAGATTTAAATAACAAGTGAGAGTTAGATTGGTTAAAATGTACACAATCATAACCCATACCTCAAATGTGTATTTTTCTCTGTTATTAAAGAGCATTAATATGGTCATCTGGAAAGTGGAGACTTGCAATATGTGCTTCCGTGTATTAGAGCCAGTTACTTGTGCACCTCCAACACCAACTTCAGATCCATCTTCCTATTTTTTAAAAAAATACAAGCAAGATATAATTATCTCCTGGTAACTTTAACAGTATGTTTCAGAAATAGATCCTATCCATCTCCCCCTCAACAAAACTACATAACTTATTCCTATATAAAAAGGAAATCTATTTAAAAGTATGTGTGTGTGTATATACTTACTTACACACACACACACAGTACTTAGACTGTCTCCTTCTTTCCCCACTGTGGAAATTTTAGTGTATCTGAGCAAGTTATTAATCAACAATTTCTTATATTTAAAGCTAAAATTATTTTAACAGTACACTATGGGATGATAATAGTAATGGACTTACAAAACAACCCTACTATTACACTAGCACCAAAAGTAATAGGGTTAGGTTTCTTTCTACATGACCCAATCACAGTAAAAGTTTAGAAAACAGCATAGTACAGGGGAGAAAATGGCCATTCTCAAAGCCCATTCCTGCTCTATGATTTAAGAGGTACAAAGCATAGCTTACAGTTATTAACGCTTGCATTATGTTTTAAAAATCTATAGTTCTACTTAATAAAACT